TTTTTTTTGATCCCTTACCCATTGCACTGCACGTAGTTTGTTTTACTTGTTTTCTTTGCCCATGTCCATTCTGCCCACTTAGGAAATGTCGCAATGTGATGCTACGTCACAGCAGTCACTTTTCTGCGCCTTCACCCAGGGAGAGCCCTTCGGAAGGGTAGCATCCGATCAGACTCTGAACTTGCTGACCTATTTGTGTGTCCCATTTCCACAGTAGGATGAGTCCATTTGATTCTTTTGCCAGCATGGTGATACATGAGCAAGCAGCATTGTCGCTGAGATCTCAAAGCGCCACGACAGTGTTGCTTCCTCCCCCACTTCCCGCAGATTGAAAAACTCTGCAATGCAGACTCCACACCACTCTCTCTCTCTCTCTGCCGTCATTGCTTGGGTCTTGAAAAGGCAACATATTCATCATGTGAGCCACGATCAAAACTTGCGAAGACCACTTTAGGGGAGGGGTAATGGCGCACCTCAACTCTGAGAAGACCAACAAGTTTTGACCGCTCCTCATGTCGTTGCATTAACATCCTTTGTGCTTCGTGTTACTCGCTTGTATCTCCACGGCCTGACTCGCTTCACCATCGGATTTCTCCTGTGCCGACGGATGGTCCTCCAGGAGCCTGGCCTTGCAACGATGAGGCCAACCGACTGCACCTTGGATTCCTTGGAGTGGAGTACAAAAAACCAAATGAATTTGAGAGAAGGCAGACTTGACAAGTGAAGTCATCTGACCAAGTGCTGTGGTTAAAGTGTCAATGTTCTTTGATGAAAACTGATGTTAGGGACCACTCCAAAATTTTCGTTGGGTTTCCTATCGTTTGCTCTTGGCCCAACTTTGACCGAAGTGGCCGCCAAATGTCGAACCTAGATCAAACTCAGGCAGTATCTCCCTCATCGACTTTGGTGGCTGTGTGCACCAAAGTGATGATTGCTCTCGCGGCCGTGCTGGTACGCGGCAATTTCGTGGCCAGGCACCCTAGTGGGGTATACACTCTCATGGGGAGGGGAGAAGTTCAGGCAACTGGCAAGAGTTTCTCATGCCTACTTTCACAACTTTCATTGTCATGGTCCACACTGAGGGTTTAGTTTTGACAGGTTTTACGTCAATGTTTTTGCTGGCTCAGGCCCAGTTTGCCAATGGAAAGGCGAGTAAATCTAAACTCAAATCTTCTTTTTCCCTCCCTCCCTCCCTCCCTCCCTCCCTCCCTCCCTGGTCGGTCTCTCTCTCTCTCTCTCCCTCCTCTCTCTATCTCTCTCTCTCTCTATCTCTCTCCCTCTATCTATTTATATCATTTTATATCTATTTATCAATTTGTCTATCTATCTGTCTATCTATTTGTCTATCCATCCATCCATCCATCCACCCATCCAATCTAATCTAATCTAAGCTAAAATTGATCTATCTATATACCTGCCTACCTACCTACCTACCTAGCTAGCTAGCTAGCTAGCTAGCTAGATATCTATCTATCTATATAGCTATCTGTCTATCTATCTATCTGTCTGTCTATCTATCTATCTATCTATCTATCTCTCTCTCTCTTGCCTTTGTGTTGAAAGCTTCAATCATTGAACATCAACTTAAGAAATGTCAACAATGCAGCCGTCCTGTGTTGCATCATCAGCACTTTAAACACTCAGCCATGAAGACTCGACTCTTTGTAGATCATCCAGGCCAGGATCAAGGACCTTTGAAGGGTTATGGAAAGCTACTCTCCATGTGGCACTTTCTTGTCCAACGCCACAAGCCTTTAGAAGTACAAATTGTTCAAGCAAAACTCAAGGAGGCAGGGTTCTGCTGGACACTAGATAGAGAACCCTCAGTGCTTTCTGGAGCATCATAACTTGTTAGCACCTTCAGGTCCTGAGCTGGTCCTCGGATTGGACTGGGATTCTCCTGTGGACATGTGGGCTGCAGGCACATGATAGAGACCCAGGGGCTGCAAAGCATTAGATAATTGGAATTTATGTCCTTGTTACTTCTAAGATTCTAGCATTTAGTCTCTATTTTCATTCTTGCACGAAGGCTAGTTGGCAGCGATCCGTTCTTGTGTGCAGGATCCAAGCTATGTCAAATTTGTTAGCTCAATATGCTCATGACAGTGCGACAAATTTTCGAGTGTTTTTAAATCTGTTTAAAGTGATTATATAGTGTTACGCATGCCGCTATGATGTCTCAAGGTTCAGTCATGTGTCCAGTTCCTTTTTGCTTTGTCAAGAAGTTTTGAAGAGCTATGGAGGGGATTGGGCTTCAGCACTACGCACTGGGAACACCAAAACTGCAGGACATCGTCTTAGGTCTTAGGACATCATTCCTTGCATTTTTGCAAGTTTCAGCGAACAGACAACATAGACCAAACCCCAGATGCAAGCCATTTCATCAAGCCCTTTTCGGATTTTGAACGGCGCTGAGTCGCCATGTCATGGCCGATGGGGTTTCCGTTCCAGCGCGTACGTCAGGGGACTCAGGCATGGCACAAGGGGCACTGTGGGAAACAGGATGCTGCTCAGTTGTCCTCTGTCTGCTTTCTTTTGGGCGTGGTTAGAGCTGCCTTTGCTGATGTTTGGAATGATGAGCATGCAAGGGCTTCCTGATTGTACGGGAATTGGCAAACTCAGTAGAAGTCCAAAAGGATTTCCGAACTAACAATCTTGAAGCTTTCGTGGGACAAGGCCCATGCAATCCCAATCCCCGTGACCTCGTCACCCAGGCTGGCGGATTCCTTGCGCTTTCAGGCCAAGTCTGGCTGGAGAGGAGCTTTCCAATGGCTCCAGCAGAGTCGTGAGGCTGAAAAATATGCAAAGTTCCCAAGATCTTGCGGCGACAAGCTAAGTGACCATAGCGCTTGGTGCCTTTGGCAGAGGTGATGTCCTGATGTCCCGGAAGGACTTCAAGTTTGAATTTCCTTCAAACCCCGTGTCCTTCTAGTTCTTCTGGCTTTGCCCCAAAGACCCAAAGACTCCAGAAGCTTGACTTGTCTCTGACCGCAGGCCGCTTTGGAGACGTCGCCAGAATCTTAAGCCTACCAGACTTGTAGGGCACTCCAATGACTGTCAGATGTGTTCTCTGCATGGTTTTAAGATGATACGCACCTCACATGGACCTCACCCCTGGGACATGACATGTTTCACAGATAGAAGAGCTAGAGCATCATTGCATCATGGAAATTCCTTCGCTCTCAGGTCACAGCTCTATGGCCGCTTGGTCAAAGCTGCAAAGAGACCTGCTGATGGGCAAAGCTGGAAGAGGAGCGAGCCACGCGGTCCAAGCCACACAAGCAATGCGACATATATGCGACGAGCAGTTTTCTTCCGCTCCCAGCAGCACCAGTGGTTTCAGGTGTCTCCAAGTCCTTTGTGGAGTACCAGACTCTCTGGTCAGCGTGCAGCTCTCCAATCAGGTGCATGAGAATGGATGGTTCAACGATTGAAAGTGAATACTTGGTGTGTTACCTATTCATGCCATTGAAGCTTTAAAGGCCAGCTTGGTGGCATTACATTCGGCATCAGGATCATCCTCCCTTGCCAGCCTTAAGCTGCTAGGGCCACTTGTACAAGTCCAAATGTGCTTCATCAAGTCCTTTCTTCATCGAGCTTGATTGAGAAAGCTGACTGGATGCCTTGAGTGGCTGGCGCTAGCGCCCAAATCGCCAAAGCGCCCATAACCATGGCTGCAGCGCCCAAAGCGCCTCAGGTGGCAAGCTCGATCACAACGCAACATTGGGAGCTCTCCTTGGAGGTCTTGCAAGAGGTGCGGGACAGCTGGAAGTCCACCAAGGATTCGTTCTTCGCAAGGACATGCTTAGATTGGTCGACTTATATAGTGGATTTAGTAGATTGGTCGAGAAAGCAGATGATTTGCAAAGGGTGGCCACTGTTGATTCGAAACGAAAGCTTCCGGAGTGGGTCCTGCTGAGGCCTTGCGATTTGGTCGTTGGAGTGTGGTCAGCACGAACACAGCCCTTTCGGCCCACCTTCTTCTCTCTGGGTGGCAGAGAGCACGGGCGACCTTGGCACAACAGGCAGGAAGAGCTTACCCACCGGCAGGCAGTTGATTTTGTGGGCTCACGACTGCTGTTTTTGGTATTGTGAAGAGGTGTCAACAAGCAAAGAATGCAGCTGAGCTGCGTGGGTCAGGAAAGACGGTCTCGCACAGATGTCATCTCCTGGAACACCGTCACCTGGATCAAGCAAAACAGCTTTCTTGCTGGTGGGGTCATCCCGTTTTGGGTCGGGAGACTAGCATGTCAGACACTGCCAAGGGAATGTTGAGGGAAATTTGCAATCTCAGTGGTTTGACAGGAAATAATCTAAGAATAACTAGGAAATTCTGTGTCTATACTTTTCCCTTGTACCCGGCACTTCTTTGTTCCATCACCGTGAGGTCATGGCGGCTTGCAGCCGCGCCGGCCAAGCAGAGCTAGTGCTTAGGCTGTTAAAGGCAAAGCAGAAGTCGTCATGACACGTCTCGAGACCATGAATGAAGCGACTGAAGAGCTACATACATTTTTCTAGCTAGTATCTAAGTTGTGACAAATGACTTGCAGTACATGCATGCATGAAGACGCTTCCTGGCCTCGCATCAAGGGCACCAATTGCCAGAAGCATGTGGCAGGAACTTCAGCTGTGCCGTCATGAGCCCGATTTGGTCTCCTTCAACACGGTCTTAGATGCCTGCTCTGAGGCTGAAAGCTCAAAGGTCACAAACAACGGCATAGCGACACACAATCATAATAATACACGAAGAATCATATAATTTCGCAGAATATCTGAAGCTGATTCGAATTCATGTATCAGAATGAGGCCCAATCAAGTTCACTTCATGTAGCTGTCCCCTTCGACCATGTAGTTTTGTTTTGGAGGCAAAGCTGTGGCAAGCTTCGTGACGTGGACTGCAAACCCCGCAAACCTCCGGACGGCGTGTTTTGCATCATCCGACGACTCGACCTCTTTGCCGTTTCGCTGTGAGGTCACATCTCTTTTTCGCTTTGCAATGGGCCGCCCTGAAGCCGGATGCCTTCACGCTAAGTGGCATCAGCACGGCAGTTTCGTGGAGGACAGTGGGATTTGTACTTTAGGAGACTGAAAAGAGGGAAGTTATATTGAAATTCATTCTTCAACCCATTGATAGATGATAGCTATTCGGATCTGTTTTCATTCTTCAAACACCCAATGCCAGGACTGCACTGGACTTGCAGTCCGGCAGCATCACTCCCAATGCTGTCAGTGATGCAGCGCTTCTAACAGCTGTTGGCACTGCTACTTGCTGCGAAAAGGGCCCCGGTTCGCATGTGAGGGGCCGTGGGCATAGACAATCCCAAGTTTGTCAGGAGTATGGTTTGTTTGGACTCTTGAACCGATACACGCACATGAACTAACTGCTTGGAAAGAATGTACTCATCTCATGGACGCGTAACGACCGTATAACTGCTTGGAAACAACATAAATCATCTCATGGACTTGCAATGACTTGCAAATGGACATTGATTTTAGATAGACTTGTCAAGGATTCCATCCGACAGTGGCCGTTGGCCCTCCTTCTGATTTCGAGAATGCAGGCTGGGTGTCCCTCTTGTTTTTGCCAGATGAGATGAACAAAAATCAGTCTCATGGCGCAAGTCGTTGTTGAAGATTCGAAGACTCCACAAAGATCTAGCATGTTTATTTTTTCCCCAGATAGCGAAGCTATGGTTCTTACTTCAAATAACAATGAGTTGCCCGTGCGCGCTTTCGAGACAGGTTGCTGGTGCTGGTGCCGGGTGCCGGTGCTGGTGCTGTGAGCTGGCTGTGCACGTGGTGGAGACAGGTTGCTGGTGCCGGTGCTGGTGCTGGCGCCGGGTGCCGGTGCTGGTGCTGGTGCTGGTGCTGTCGCGCGTGGTGGAGACAGGTTGCTGGTGCCGGTGCTGGTGCTGGGTGCTGGGCGCCGGTGCTGGTGCTGTGAGCTGGCTGTGCACGTGGTGGAGACAGGTTGCTGGTGCCGGTGCTGGTGCTGGGTGCTGGGCGCCGGTGCTGGTGCTGGTGCTGTGAGCTGGCTGCGCACGTGGCGGAGACAGGTTGGTGCCGGCTGCCGGTGCTGGGTGCTGGTGCTGGTGCTGGGCGCCGTGAGCTGGCGTGCCGGTGCTGGGTGCTGGCGCCCGCTTCTGACAGTGAAGTGATAACAGCCGCCGCTTCTAACAGCGAAGGGTAACAAACCGCCGCTTGCAGCAGTGAAGGGCGACCAAGCGCCGCTTCTGACAACGAAGTGCCATCAGTCATGGGCCGCATAAACTTATGCGCGCAACATGATACGGTGGTGTCGCTTGAACGTTCTTTGTCTATTAGCGCTGTGGGGTATTTACACTCCTCAGGTTCTGTTTTGGCCGACAGCTGTGTCAAGGGCTGTACCGGTACCGTTTGCGCGCATACTTTTGCACGTATAATGTTCGATGCGCAACGTCAGGCTCTCAACCGACAATTTGTTTCAGCATGTTTCAGCATGCTACACACGCACAATAGTCGTGCTGGATACTGCTTGGCCTTGGGCCAGTGAAGCCTACGGGCTTTGCTGTTTGTGCGCATACTTTTGCGCGCGTAAACTTATACGCACAAGATCATACGGCCTTATTGTTCTGCAGATCGTTGCTTCAAGCATGCCACAAAGTGGCGCTGGATACTGCTTGGCCTTGGGCCAATGACACTTACCGGCTTTGCTGTTTGCGCGCATGCTTTTGTGCGCGTAAACTTATACGCGCAAGATCATACGTTGTTATTCCCACTTATTCCCCAAATAGGGATAGCTATGGGGTTCTTGCTGCAAATAAGAATGAGCTGGCTGCGCTCGCTTTCGAAAGGGTGTCGGCGCTGTAGTGAGCTGGCTGAGCGCGCGTTTAAGACGGGCGGCGGCGCTGGTCGGGCGCTGGCGCCGCTGCCGGTGTTGTCAGCTGGCAAAGTGCACCGGTGCTGGTGTCAGCTGATTGTGCGCGCTGTGGAGGTGCCGTAAGCTGGCTGCGCAAGCTGCGTGCATTCTTGTTCCAGCCAGTCGCATGTCAACAGGTCGTGGGATTCTGCCTAGCTATCTAGGTCTATGCTGGTGTTATATATTTCCCCAGATAGCGAAGCTATGGGGTTCTTACTTCAAATAAATATGAGTTGCCCGTGCGCGCTTTCGAGACAGGGTGCCGGGTGCCGGTGCTGGCGCTGTGAACTGGCTGTGCGCACTGGTGCTGTGAGCTGGCTGCGCACGTGGTGGAAACAGAGCGCCGGTGCTGGTGCTGCGTGCACGCGTGGTGCATGGAGACCGGGTGCCGGGGCGGGTGCGTGCACGCGGTGGAGGCAGGGTGTCGGCGCTGGTGCTGTGAGCTGGCTGTGCCCGTGGTGGAGACAGGTGCTGGCGCTGGTGCTGTGAGCTGGCTGCGCATGTGGTGGAGACAGGTTGCTGGTGGTGGTGCCGGGTGCCGGTGCTGGGCTGTGCACGTGGTGGAGACAGGTTGCTGGTGCTGGTGCAGGGCGCCGGTGCTGGTGCTGGGCGTCGGTGCTGGTGCTGTGAGCTGGCTGTGCGCGTGGTGGAAACAGGGTCCTGGTGCCGGTGCTGGTGCTGGGTGTACGCGTGGTGCATGGAGACAGGGTGCCAGGGCGGGTGCTGTGAGCTGGCCGTGCGCGTGCCGGTGGGGCTGGCTGTGCGCGTGGTGGAGACAGGGCGCCGGGCGTCGGTGCTGGTGCTGGTGCTGTGAGCTGGCTGTGGGCGCTGGCTGGCTGGCTGTGCGCGTGGTGAGGCAGGGTGCTGGGCGCCGGTGCTGCAAGCTTGCTGTGCACGTCGTGGAGACAGGGTGTACGGGCTTTGCTGTTTGCGCGTAACCTTTTGTGCGCACAAATTTTTTCGCGCAAGATCATATGTTGTTATTCCCTGCTGTGCGCGTGGTGGAGACAGGGTGCCAGTGCTGGGCGCCGTTGTGGTGGACTGTGAGCTGGCTGTGCGTGTGGTGCAAACAGGGTGCGGGTGCTGGGTGCTGGTGCTGGGTGCTGTCAGCTGGCTGTGCGCGTGGTGGAAACAGGGTGCCGGGTGCTGGCTGTGCGCGTGGCGGCTGGTGCTCGTTGTGTGCGTGGTGCAGATTGGGTGCTGGTGCCGGGTGCTGGCGCTGGCTGTGCGCGTAGTGGAGACACGCCACGCTGTATTGCGTGTAAAAATTGGAGCTGCTGCCAATGCAGGGTGCAGCCCAGACAAATTTTTTGCATGCTTTTGCTATCTGGGGTCTATGCTGGAGTAATCTTTTTTGCAGACATGTTCTTCTCCTATTGTTTAGTTGGTTCTTGCTCCGAATTACCAGTTACGTTTGAGTTCAGCGCCTCAGTCAGTTCTGAGACTCGAGCCATATATGCCAGTATGACCTGAGAGTGACCTGACGGGCGACCGGGACGGTGATCCGTTCACTTCGTGCCAGGCACTTGACCAGCTGCAGGTCATGAGCCTCAACGCTGTGGCTTGGCAGGGCAGTTGTTTCAAAGAGTTGATTGATTGTTGTTCTGGGTTTTGATTGTCGAATGCTCATTTTCTACTCAGAAGCAATGATGATATGCCGAATGGCAGAGCTGGAATCCAATAGAGTTGCCAATGCGAGAGTCTGCTTTGAGGCTGTTGCAGCTTGTGGAAATGCCAATGAATGGACAAAGTCTTTGCAGCTTGCTCAAAGGCCTTGCCACTGCAGAGCTGCATTTGGGATGCCGATGTAGACGCACCACCAAGTTGACTCTTCAAGCTTTGCAGCAAGGTGAAGCCTGAACCTGGGTGGACAGCGTGAAACGCCTTACAAGTGCGTGAAGCTGTCCGTGTGTTGTAGTGTTTTTTGCCGCCCGAACCCACATGGACCGACATGCTTCAACGGACGATGCTCCCACTTGTCAGGAAGCCCTCACCTCGCTCGATGGGCAGCATGCTGGCGGCCTGTGGTGATGCCACGGAGTGGGAAAGGCGATGTTTCCGAAATCATTTTTCCGAAATGTTTTGGGGATTGTACAAAATGGTACAAACCCGGAAAAGGCGAAGCTTGTTTTCATGTCTTGAATAATTTGCCAATAATTGGATCGGGGACTGGACTGCTGTGGGTCGTGAGCTGTTCCGACAGGGTGCTGCAGATCTTCCTCCACGTAAAGAATTCCAAGCTCAGCAATATGTTCACTTATGGCCTGATGCCCAATTGCTTCACAGTAACAAGTGGGGACAAACTTTTAGACCATGATTAAGCGAACAAGCATGGAAGATCATTGTGCATTCATGCTTTCACAAGGGAAGAATTGAAACTCTTTGAGTCTAAAGAGTCTATGGCGAAATCATCCAACCTGGGACAAGTTTTGTGGAGGGCAGCAAGTTGTAAGCCAAGGTGCTGCAATCACAGCGTGTTCTAGAGGAGAGCGTTTTCAACAGAAGCGGAGGGATCATCCAGAGATGCACAGAATGTGTCGTTGAGACTGACAGACATCGTAAACTTTAAAGCGCACGTCATATCTTGTTCACGTCCAAAGTCAAATCCCAGGAGGGGCATGGCCGCAAGCACTTCACTTGCTAAGCCAGGCATGACAGTCGACAAGTTTTGCTGCCGTCATGTCATCTATTCTCCATTTACAGCGGGTGTAAGTTGCTCAGCGTTTTGCTGCTGGCTTTCTGTGTTGTGTGGTCATGTTGGATGTAGTGCCAGGCCCGGAAAGACTCCTGTTGTGATGCCATCTGCATGAATGCAGCGATCAGTGTTTGGGGCCTCAGACTCTGTGACTCAGGAATGTGAAAGATGCTAAACCTCGAGAGCGAAAGAGAGGACTCCCCGGTTGACAGAAAAAAGTTTGAGTCATGCGGCATATGTGACGTCCACTGTCTTCGGCCTTCACCAATTTGTCGCATCCCGAGGCATGCCGCTCCAATTGGGAGCTAAGCGTCGCGCAACTTGGCCGAGGAAAAGGCTTGGTTTTCAGAAGCAAGAGCATTGGTATGTTGAGATCCCTTCAAATCAGGTGCCTCTGGTAGCCACAAAAAATCATTGCGATAAGCATTGGTAGCCAAAAGTCTTTTTGCATGTATGCTTGTTTTTTACTGGCTGCATGCCCATTCCTTACCAATGTGGGCCATGGTGGGTTTCCCTTCCAAGGCTTTTGCAAGAAGCCAATGAAGAACGTTTGGACACGGCAGTTGCTTATGCAGCAGCAGCTTGGCAGCAGTTTGTACATTTCGCACAAAGCGATTCCGAGCCAATCACTGACAGCGACGGCTCAGGTGATGACAGCATGTGATCGTTGTGAACAGCCTGTGAAGGTCTGATGTGCCAATTTGATGTGCAGATGTTCGGTTCGCCTTAATCAATGCTATCAATCAAGTCGGATTTTTGGCACGGTGCTTTGGGTCACACTTTCAAAAGGTGACGAAGACAGCCAGTCACCTTCGGTTTCTGTTCGATCTTTGTCTTCAGGTTTTGGCTTGCTGGGCAGCTATACCGAAGAAGAGCCATGCCACTTTGTCGGAAAGAGAGAAGCCAGCGGCACAGCTGTGAGTGTGAGTTGAACTGTGGAAGGCAATATCAAGCTAGCTAAGTTTCCGTAAACATCGAGTTTCCCTAATCGTTGGTGCGAATGCTTCTTCACGGAAGCGTGAGCTATCCTGCGTCCAGTTACTAGAAGCTAACTTAGCCTAGTAGCTTACCTCCTTACTTATATAAATATATAAGTAGGGTAGGCACCTACTTAATTAAGTAGGGAGGAGGGGCCTCGGGCCAAAAAGGAAACAAGCCTTGCAGGCGGGCAACAAGAGACGTTGATCGACGATACCTTCCTCTGCATGTCAAAACGAGCTTGACATCGAACAGCATCCTTTTTTTGAGATTCCAAATCCACGAAGCTGCTTTGTGAACGTCACCTCCGGGGAGACGACAGGCCGCCGCCTGCAGCCTTGCCTTGCGGGCTTGCGAGTCTCGGCTGAAGTGGTCGTCTGGTTCTGCCTGAAGACCTATGGTTGTGTAGGCCCTGTGAATGGACGACACCATTGAGGTAACAGGAAGGAGTCGGGAAGGAGATCCTTCACCACATACAAGACTTGCTCATATGAAGTGAAGACATCCACCGTTTTGTTGAGGAGGCGACATCTTCATGGAACCTTGCTATGAGGCAGAAGCTCTGTGAGGATGTTGAGAGTGGGGGTTGAGGAAGGAGCAGAGGAGAGTGGGAAAACAAGGGGAAGAACAGGCTGAGGCTTCCTGAGGCTTCACAAGGTTTTGTGATGCTCGTGGGGATTGGGGCTTCTTTGCAACATGACACATGCATTTGAATCACATCGAGCTCACTTTGCAGGTGCCTTCAGAGTGCCTTGAAGGTGGGGAGAATTAGTGAACAAGCTGGGCACGGTACCAGTTGTTTCTGAGCCACCAAGGTCATTGGAGAGACAAGATGCCTTCTTACTGTGTACAGGTTTTCCTTGTTGCTTTCGCTCTTAGTGTGGACAGTGATTGGTCGACCAATGATAGTACTCTGCTTCTTTCGCACTAGTTGGTGTGAACTAACGCCGGAGCTGTTGATGTCATATGTTGGGGGTCTTAGAAAGATTGAGGTTGACGGTGGATGAAGGGGTTGTTGATTGTGATTTGGTGGGTGAAATTGGTAGCAGTGGAGATGCTTCCTGCGTGCAAAGGGTGAGGGGACTTTGGGTGGGTGTTGCGGCCGCCCATGAAATATTGGGAACTGCGAAGCGGTGCCCACGAGTGTGTAACTTGCTGGGACATACCACAGATCCTCCGTGTTCCGATGGTTCTTTTGTGTCGATCTTTCCTGACTCTGGTGAAGCAGTAGTACACTCTCCAGAATCAACAACCAATTGGGATTGGCCGAGGACGCTGTCAAAGAGAAAGTTCATGACCGTGCTCATTTCCCGAAAATAGACCGAGGAAACTTTGAATTTCAAAAGTTGGTTGAACACCTCATATATAGAACGGCTTCCTCGTTGATTCTGTAGGGAGTACATGGTTGCTTTAAAAATTTTTAAATATTCATCCCAGTTCTGAAGGGTTTTGGAGGTGAAGCTGATATCCAGCTTTCAGGTCCTTGTGTTTCTGTGAGTTGGCCTTTCTGTCAGTTATATAGCTATGGCTACGTGTTCTAGATCCCTTAGACATCCTCGAGATCTGAGCCAATCATTTCAATACATCCTTTCACAGCGATGTGAGCTTTGGTATCGCTTTTGTCATAGAGCTCTTGATGCCAGGAACTACTCCAGCCTGACGCGGAGTGCATTGGTGCGGCCATTGGCGCCTCCATTGAAGCCTGGCAAAGTGTGTCTCGGAACAAAGCTCCCAGTAGCTTCTTGTTCCTAGTAGTAAGGCCAGGAGCCCCTAGTAGCGTCCTTCCTCCTAGTAACGTACTCTACCCCCCCTATGGAGATAAACAGTTCAAAGCTCGAGGAACGAAAATACTAGTTCCGAGGTTCGCAACCGGGAGGCAATTGATACCAAGTAGGGTTCTTCACTCTTTCAGGCCAGAATTCAGAACTTGGAGAAGTGAGAACTCGGAACTAGAATCAGGCTGCAAATGGGAACAACCCCTTTGTGTTGAGAGGAGTTTTCTTGGGACTTTGGTTACAACACCCGGTTTTCCGGACTCCCCACCCTGAGGCGATGCTTTTGATGAAGGACGCCACACAGCGGTCCTTGCAGCTGGAGGTCGCTCGGCCCATGCTCGGCCGACAGATCCGAACGCTTGGGATGTGTTCGACCGTTTGTCGACGGGTCAAAAACCGCTCCGGGCGTTCAGTCTGAAGAATCTCAAGAGTAAGGTCCAACATCAGACGGGATGCCACGGACTTGATCAGTGTGTTGCGTGAGTATAAGTCTAAGTGTGACTTTGGACATAGAAGAACAGTTGAGTTTTGACTGGTGCACCAAAAGTGGGGGATGTTTGGTTGCCTCGCCAGGTGGGTGCTGTGGTTGCTTACGCTTCAGCTTTGCGCCAGGGAGGGTGTTTTCAGAAGCTCAGGTACCTGTGGACGGCGGTGGGACGGCTCTAAATTTAGGTGGACGTCCAAAAGCCTTGTGTAGAGGAGCTACTTAATGGTCCATACACCATTCAAAAGGGGTAGACAGTAATTGTTTGGAGCTCAACTTGGCAGTTCAAATATTGTGCAGCAACTGGGTGTAGCGTAGATACCTCAAGGGCAAGTGACTTGAAATTGAAACTACATGATGGTGGGCAAAGTGCCTTGAACTTGAAACTCTTTATATAAGCTGGTTGCAAAGGTTTAGGTCACTTGATCACTCACAGCCCACTGTAAATAGATGGCAAGCTCGTCCGCCTAGATAAGATCCACAAGATGCATCCAAACAGGAGAGACCTTCCGAAGAGTGCCACTCGAGTGCAGGAGACTGCTTGGAGAAGTGGCCTTCGACCTTGGTGGATTGAAGGGGTGTAGACGTTGACTTTTGCATGATTTTCGCAGTTTTTCCTGCCATGATGAATGTAGCAAGAGGCATCGAAACGTCATGTACAGCTTTCAAGAAGCCTCACGATCCAAAAAGCTGCACAACGGTCGGCTGCCCTCGGCTGTTGAGCAAGAAGAGAACGGTGGTGTGCTAGGTGTACACTCCGGTTTCAAGGCATCACTCCAACATCAAATGTCGCCTCCTTTCCAGTTGAGACGTTTTGTCCAAGAAATCCCACTGGCAGGTTGTGTTATTTACATGCTGTACTTTGGCAAGCGACCCTTCAGCGTGCCAGGAGCTTACAGTAGTTGTTGATTGCAGAGCATGTCATTCTGGCAGCTTGGAGTTTGGCCCAACGGCTCAACTTTTGGGCACATATTCAGCAAACAACTTTTCATGTGATTTGTGGATGCTTGTCAACATTTGTGAATAGGGAGGAGTCTTTCTCAACCTTTTCAAGAAAGGAGCTTTTCCATTTTACCAAACATGTCAATCAGTGATGGGTGCTGTGAGGCATGAAAGCGCAGAGCACCTGGCCATGATGGAGAGGCTGAAAGTGTGATGCCATCCTCTAGACTAACAGAGATTGTGAAGAACCACTAGCTGTTTAAGCATCTTGCTTCACAGCATAAACCTCTTGGCCTCTTGGACCTTGGCCGAGTCTCTCAGAGCTGCACTCTCCAGGCTCACTGAAAGCTGCTTCCCACCCTGGATGCTTCAGACGGACTGGGCCGTGGGATGCGGTGTTTTTTTTCTTTCTGGGCGGGGCGAAGTCAGAAAGGCGCGAAGAAATATAGAGACTCAAGTGAAGTCAGGGCCTGATTTCAACTCTTAAGGACACTGAACATTGACAACATGGGACCATGGTTTTCTGAGACAGAGAGACAACTGACAACATTGTCTTTTTTCTTGTTGGCTGTTCTGGCTGTTGAAGCTTGCTTCAAGATGTGAGAACTGGAGAAATTCCTCCAGGCTCAAGAATGTCAAGATGACGAGGTGGGTGCAAGCAATTTTCGATATGACCAGCAATTGCAGAGCTCTACTTACTCAACTTACATACTTCAGCTTGCCAAGACTCCAAGACTTTGAGGTTCTACCAGAGTTTCTACATACATGCAGGATGCACATTGCAAGCACACTTTGTCTTAGTAGGACACCCAATGAAGTTGCTGCAAGAGGAGTGCTTAACCGTTTAACCCCCTGAAGCGGGAAAGGGCCCCAGGTTCAAGCACTCCCATGTACCCATTATTTTGGCTCAAAGAAGGGCACAACACAGCGCAAAAAGGGACACGTAAGACAAGAAGCATTATGACATCAACCAGGATGAAAATTGCAGAATCCCCGGTGTGTTTCCTAAAGCGAGTGATCAGAGTCATAGGGCACGAGACGTCTCTTTCTGGCCCAAGGCCTATCGAGCCACTGTAGCCATGCCGATGCCCAGAATAAGCGAGGACGAGGGAGCTGAGCGTGAAGAAGTGCTGGAGGCACTTTGGCTGTCTTAGTCAGGTTTCTTTCGGGCGGTGACACACACACACACACACACAACTTTGCACCCCAGAATGCGAGTGGCCTTCCGGAGAAGTCCAGTCCTGTTTGGGCATCGGACCACGGCATTCTTGCATCGGTCTAGCATATTTTTGATATGGTTACATCCCCAGCCTTTCCTGCAGACTGGGATGATCTCGTTTTATCACGAAAGCCAGCCGATAGGCTAGGCTGAAGTTATCTTCTGTGAACGAAGTGAGTCTTTAGTGGGGGCAGGCCGGGTGGAATGGCGCACCAAGCGCAGGCGTCCTTACCGCCTGACCCAATTCCGCCGAAGTGGATGTAAGCCATGTAAGCCTGCCAGGCTGCTGGTGTTTTTACTTTGTCAACGAGGTTATTTTTGTCAGGTTGGTGATGCAGAAAATGCAAGGTGAATGGTTAGTGCATCATTTGCATCAGCAACCTGCTCTAAGGACACCATTCAGTTTTTATGTGTATTGAATGTTTGCATTTGAAGTCTTTTCGGCAGCTGTTTCCTACGTGGGGCTCTGCGCTTCCACTGGCTTTCGTTTCCACCTTCTCACCCAACACATGCACTGTCCCAGGCTGCTTTCCACGCCTGTCCACTCACAACCCATCGCATGGACCCGAAGCAATTTTGTATGGTTTGTGGTTTGCGGTTCTGTGCCCTTTAATTTGTAGGTTTTGGCTTGTGCATCCATCAATCCAATAATTGTGTTTGAAACGCCTGGCTGGTCAGAGGATTGGTGTATGAAGAGGAGTTCAAATCTGGTCGATACTTTCAAGGTGAACACAAGAGGCTCAGGGCAGGTCTATGGTACTTTGTCTTCTTATCTTGGTTTTGGCACTTGGCACTTACTTGCCGTGTCACGACATATTCCATTTGATGGAGTCAGACTCAAGCCTCCTATCCGATCCGCCTTCTTTTTTCGTTGGGAAGGTGTTGGATCTGAGCAGCTTAGGTTGAGCTCGATGAGGAGGAAGATGCAACCTCGGACTCAGCAGCTCCTCAGGCAGGGTACCAAAGCCTTTGGGCCTTCAGGGTCAAGAAAGCTCTCAAACTCTAAAAGATTGCATGCATTGTCCGAATCATCCCTTGAAACCTGTGATTTGGGCTTTCCTTTGTTTTCTTGGCCCATTCAGCGTGTCAACGCTTCAAGCGCTTTCAGATCCCCGAAGTTTTGGAGCCCATTGACGTGGTGCTTTCCATGAAGATGGAATTTGCTGCTTGGCGCAAGAGGGCTAAGCTGATCTCAGCGGCTTGCGGGGGCTTGGATGATGGCTAAGCATGGCTAAGCAGCTTATCTTGCGCCCGACAGGCAACTGGCCACCTTGCATGATGTTTGGAGCTTTGACCTCTGACCTGAACAAGCAATCATCATGAGAATGCCCTTGTGCCAGCTGTCCGACTTTGCTTCAGGAAACTTTGGTGGACAACGTGCATGGCAAGATTGCAGAGCTGCAGAAGGTCATTCAGGCTGGGATGCGCCTTTCTGTAGGGTGCCCAGCTGCCCAGCTGCCTAGCTACCTCCATGCTCCCTAGTCTTTGAGACCTGCCGTGCGGTCCTTTCCCGTTTCTCCTCTGCCAGGCTGGACCAATCGCTCCAGAGATCAGACGCACCCGGGGCTTGAAGTCCATGGGCTCCAAAGAAGCCCTAGACTTGGCCAAGGTGCCCAAAGGGCATCGCTACTAGTAACAAGGACGCTACTAGTCTAGTAGCTCCTGGCCTTACTACTAGGAACAAGAAGCTACTAGTAACAAGGGCATCGGTACTAGTAACAAGGTTTCAGTTTACTTGGAGACCAAGTGGTCAACACGTGGTCCTGATGTCACATGTCTTTTTAAGAACCTGCGGCCCAACCCAAGTTGATATTTTGCCAGGAGCCGGAGGTGTTGGTGAAACGGCGACAGGTGAAAGCCAAGAAAGGCGATGAGAAGAAGGACTGGGTTTACTCACGCCACTGATGTTTCGCCGTAGAATTTGGCAGTCATTGGCATTGGTATCAATGAAACAATAAGCCAGTTTTCTTTTTCCAAAGTACTGGTGATGCTCTGTTAACGACGTGGTCTCTAACATCAATTGAAGGAACATTTCCAGGAGAAAATGAGGCTCATGTCGCGCCGTTATGGTGCTTCTGTTGGTGGCCGAGATGGCAGCAATGATATCCGTCTGCACGGCAGGCGCAGAGTTGCTGGTTGCCGTGAAATTTGTTGGAGAATGTTGCACGGAGGGTTCACAACAAAGAAGATGAAGAGCACATGAGCACATAGGCTCATTTCAAGTCAATCCACACCTTCTAATCGCCTCAGGACCAGGACCAAAAGTAGTAATGGCCTACACTACACTACACATACACTATATACATATCGACAGATATCTGGTACTTGTTTTGACAAAGAGGAATCTGGTACGCTGATCCAACAAAACTGCTTGGAGCTGAACACGGAGATGAAGCGAGGTGTTTTTGTGCGTGTACTCTTCTTTTTCGCGTGAGGTGGATGGAACTCTCCACTCAATTCGCTGCTCAGGGGAACCTTGAAGCAAGACCAGCCAGGCAGTGCAACACTTTGGACACAGAGTCATGTGAGGCATGTATGTTTTCTCACTCTTTCTTTACCCCAGGTCTGAAGTTTTGCGCTGGCAAAGTATGGCAGAAGCACACAATCCCATTTGATTGAAGCTGTCCTGCAGGGCGGCCGTGAGAGCTCATCGGAATTCCACACTGGAACTGCTCGAAGAAGCCGGCGCTGGAATTCCACTTTGGCACCCTTCAGGCACAAGAAATAGTCCTTGGATGGATGTCCTTGGAGTGTACAGGGTTTGGCTGCCCTACCTGAAAATGATGAGGAATCTTGCACTTTATTCGCTGCGTCCTTTCTTGATATTGAACGAATACTCTCTCTCTCTCTCTCTCTGTGCATGGCAGCCACTGCCTGCCTAAATATCTACATGGATGCTCGTCACATGGCAAATCTTGGTTGCTTGAGGCTACTTCAGACTGATGTGGGATGGCTTTTCTGTTCTGATCACCTTGTTGCTTGGAGCATGTGTCGGAGGCTACGACATGCGTGACAGAAAAGTCGACATATGAAAATTTGATTGGGTGAATGTTTCCTGGAAGTTCTTTCTGACCCAGGCTAGATGCTTTCACCATGCCAGTGTCTTTGGCTTGGGAAGCTGATGTAGGGAGTCCGGATCCTTGGCAACACTTCGAAAAAAGACCTGACGATACAAGCTCTAAGGATCTTCCACTGCTAGAGAATCACCTTGGTCTAAGATTAGATTGAACTTGCAGTAGTTTGAGGCATCGCCATCTTCGGCTTCGGAAAGCTTGAAGTTAACAAACGTGGTGAAGCAAGACACCCACAAAGTCCCACCAAAGGAAGAAGTGCCATCACAAGAGCTTAATGCATATTAAACAATATGGACAAGATGCCTAAGCATGCTTTACACATAAACAAGGAGCTACTAGTAGCGATGCCCTTGTTACTAGTAGCGATGCCAGGAGCTACTAGTGAGCGATGCCCTTTCCTGGCATTTTTGAGGGTTGGGACCATCAACCTTGGGGCACCTAGGATGGAAGGTGGCCTTCTGGCGAATCCTGGCTGCGACGAATCTGCTTGACGAAGCAGGCTTTGATTGCCATTTACCACATGTTTGCAAATTTGCTTTTCTGTTTTTGAATATTATCCTAAAAGAATTCTCAATTGCCATTATATAGCATCTCTGAGCACTTGACTTTGCGACTGAAAGTACAGGTGCTTCTACTGGAAACCGCAGGAGTTCTAATTCCCGGCCGTAGAGGTGACATTCCACATTTGTGGAGTGCAACTGTGACGTCCTGCAAGAGTTTACTGTTCCCTTTCCACCAAGGATTCTGGAGCAGATACTCTGTATGCAATCTTTTGGACAACCTTCTTTTTCTGGTCGATTGACATCCCAGCTGCTTCGACAACATTTGGAGTTTCGTTTTGATGGACTTTCTGCGCTCCATTGAGCCCAAGGAAGAGTTACAGTTGAACGGACAACTGACCGTTGCTGATCCTTAAATAAAGAATGGTTGGATCCAAAGCATCACTGAGATCACCTGCAATACCGCTGTCTACATCAACGGCGAGATCAAGAAGAACAGATGTATGGTGCCTGAAACAGAAGAAACACATCTAAATGTGGGACGCTTGTGGGAAGAAGGAGGTTCTTTCCTAAGTCGTATTGTTTGTGGATTGCTTTCTTAAACTTTCTTTCGGGCCTTTGTATGTCACTGTGCAGGCCCCAGAGGCACCCTAGGCCCTAGGCCTGGTGACGAAAATGAGTGTTGGATACGTTATACATCAAACGACATAAGGAAAGGTTCCAAAGAGAAGCGGTTTGAGGCCCAATTTGCAGGCAGTCACTAGTGCCAAACTTAAACGGATATAGACATAGAATGCGAACATGCAAGTATATCAGAGCGTCACAAAAGCCGTATTCCTTGGTAAACGTGGTGCA